GTGTTTAAATTTATCAAAAAAAATTGTTGATCGAATTCCACTCAGGATCACTTCTTGTTATATTTTATCTTCCTGACCTTTTGCTTACAAGTTACAACAGTGGAACAAATACTTAATAAAACTATTCTGTACGAGGAACAAAGTAACGATAACGTGTACGATGGACTGGCATTATTTTTTTTTTTTTTTTTTGGATTTTTCATCTAAACGTGTTTAAATGTATTCGGTTTATGAACAAACGGTATTTTGCATTATTATTTTATTATTATTATTATTATTTTTTTTTTTACGATCCGGCCGAATTATTGCGCGTAATATTCACACAATAGCGTTATTATTATTCCGTTTTACAGTCGAAACATAACGAAACGAGGTGGTGGAAATAAGACAAAAACATTATTCAACCCCTCCCCTCCGCTTTTAAACTCGCGTCGTCTCGATCGTCTCTTCTTCTCTCGCAAACTTTCGACCGTGTAACAGCTTGCGTACCGTTCATTAAAAAATATTATTTCCGATGGATTCGGCAGCGAAATATATTTTTGAGACAATAGAAAACTTTTCTGCTGCAGTTTCGCCGTCGTTATGCTTCTGGTGACGGCAATTTATTGTTAAAAAAACGTTCAGTTTTAACGTATATACAAGTACGGACGTAATCTGACGGATAATGTTTGTCGATTACATAATATCATAATAAACATTAATTATTATCGAATCGTTATTCCGCACGTAAAAATAATAACAATATTATTATTATGAGACGCGTGCCGGCATTACGATTATAACCGCGTCGTCGGCGTGCCGTATAGTTTTAAAGTTACGCCGCCGCCACCGGTGTGGTTACTTAAAACAAATGGTATAGTTATGAATACTTTCGTCGTACACAATTTGTTACGCTATACTTGCGCGTGGAGGAAAAAGTTTCATGCCATAATACGTATTTAAATATTAATCAATTATCGCGAAAACTCATAATACGTACAGTAAATCATAATGAGTTATGTGCCGTATAACATATACGTATACGTTATGGGAAGTCAAAAATTCTTTATTTATCTACGTATAATATTATTCCGAATAATTTCGAATTATGAGTAAATATATAAGGACGGGTTAAACATCTTAAATAATTTCGAAAACTTTAAAATCCCCGCGAGAACCGACTTATTAAAACTATATATATATATATATTCATATTACTTGGAAAGTATTTTTTTATTATTTTTTTTTTATTAAAGTTTCCCTCGTATTGTTTTCTTAGTTTTATCAAAAGTTGAGTACCTTACCGTAATAATAAACTTTATGTACCTTATTAAATCACGGTTTATAAACATATTTTATTAATACTGACGCTTATCGTTCACAAACATCAGTGAGTATACGTTTTGATAACTTGTCAGTCAGTTACCCGCAGCAAAACTGATAAATATACTGAGAATTACAATTCTACTTTAAATTTAGAAATAAATAGTATAATATTTTCGTAAATGTGTTCTCGTATATTTGTAAATACGAATACATATTGTTTCGATTTGGGCCGATCACTACAATAATTATGATTTTTTCCTCCTCAAACCATTTCGTATACAAAAACAATTTAATTTTTCGAAAAAATTCATCAGCTTCACAAATAAGTATTTTTTACTATATCGTAAATATCGATTTTTCGCAAAAAGGTGAAACTTTTAGCGAAATCGATTTGTTATCATATGCGTGTAGAAATTATGTTAACGCAAAACACGACCCGCAAACATTTTCAGTTTATTTTTAAACACGCGTAATCGCACTATATAGAGAAATATTCAGTGCAGTTATTATTAAGCACATAGGTACGCGTAGTAAAGTTTATAAAGTCGTGCGCTTGTAGTATCGTAAAATGTTTCTTTTGAAGGATCTAGGAGAGCAATCTGCAGCAGCGCAAGGGGTGCGAGGGGAAATCGGTTTGAAATGCGCGCGGCATAGAGGTGATGTGCGGGCCGCGGCAGTCTGCGCGCGGCCGGGCTTGTTTTCTGATCAACGACGCCGCCGAGTTGGGGCAAACTTAAGACTCGTTAATGAAGACAAACAGACGTGTAAATAGCGTTTACGGCGCGTTTTGTATATAAGCGAACTGTATATACGGCGGTAAGCTCCAATAAACTTTTGTAAGCTATAAAACTAGACTGCTGCGGGGCCGGGTGGGAGGGCGTGTCGGCGGATGAAACTGCCGCGTTTGTAATACACGTTAACGCGCGGTGTATCGGTTATTAAACACCCCGGAGACATTTCGGAGGGGAGTTAGCGACCGGCGGCGACAATAGGCCGAATCGATATGTAATAGTTATTTTCACGCGATTGTCGCCGAACCCGCGAAAGTATAACGGACAGTTTGTAATTGCTTGGTTTTTTTTTTTTTTTTTTTAGATTTTCTGTTTCAATAAGTTTCACGACTTTTCTGGCGGAAATATCGCTCCGATCAAAAACTGTATGCTGCAGAGACTTTCTTGTAGCGTTCTGTTGATCTGGTCGGCGGTCCATTGAGGATGTCATTTCCCGTGTAATGATAATTCCTTATTAAATGGGAAAACTATAGCAATTTTCCGCACGATTATTGTCAATTTCCGCGTTACCTTGGTATCTATACACGGCCATTAATACTGAGCTTAGAATAATTTTTCGTTAGCGACGGTTTACCGTCTGCGCGTACTCATATAAACTAAATTACTCTTTATACCCTTTTTTCCGACTTTCCTCCTTAAACAGTGGCATAACACTCTTCAGTTTTTTTCACATTACGTTTTTGTCCTCGGCGATGTAGCGAAAAGGACGAATTATGTGAAAATCTGCGGTGACACTGCGGCCGTCAATACCTTGCGCTCAACGACGTTGTGGTTTATCAGTCGCAAACGATTTAATTAAACGGCGAGGGAAACAACGAAATTATTATACGATAGTGATGGCCGGTTATTGAGTTTTTGATTCCGCGTCCGTCAATAGTGGACTGTCGGAAACGGTTTTATCAAGTACTGCTTAGGTTAGGCCACTGTTTTGGACAGTGATGGTTCGTGAGTCTTGTGTTATTACGAGTATTTATATCATGGAGAGAAACATATATACTATACCTGCAGTAATGTAAAACGAAGTGTTGTTAAACTTATAATAATTATTATTTATTGGTCATAATTATTTTGAAAATTACAAAAAAAACATTCAGTTAACATTTTATTTTTCTATAACCAATCAATTCTATACACTAAACGAAATACATTTTAATATTTTTAAATATGGAATCTACGAACCCATAATAAACCAATTATATCTATAATGTTTTATTGTATTGAGAAATTTATAGACGAGCCGCCTCATTTGTCTGGCGAGTCACCGCTGGTATTGAAAATCGATTCGTTGGAGAATTTCATTATATATCTCTGCGTAATGCGTAGATAAAATACTTTGTCCAAAACCAGTGAATAAACGCCATTTGTTGTCAGCTTTTAAAATTTAAAACAAAAGCCCGTTTGGAAATGAAAACAATGTTTCAAAAAAAAAAAAAAAAAAAAATCACCGGACAAAAAGTTCGCATATTTTGTACTGTATAATGTGTACAAGTTAAGGAGTATTTTCACTAACTGAAAAAAATATTTTCCCGGAAATGTAAATCGCTTCTTAGCCGATATATGTTCGTCGCTAAAATTACGAAGTCTATAAATTAAATGAAAAAATCGATACTCAGCTGATATATAAAAAAAAAAATAAAATAAAATCCGACCACGCGAATGGCAGACGAAGCAATAAAACGTGCGAATCAAAATTTTTTAAGAGAAAACTACATATTGAATGCGACATATTGAAAGGGAATTTTCCCGGAAATGTTAGGATTGACAGTATTTACAAATTATGGATAGAAATAAACGGTTGAAAAAAATATGCACTGATAATAATGGTACACCAATGACATTGGTGTATCTTAGAGGAATAGTGCACAATTTCAAAATGCAATTATAAATAATTTATGTATTTTTATTTTATTTTATTATACATAAAAATAATATCATGTAAAATATTAACGCATTATATTTTGTATAGCTATCAATTTGACCTGTGAACAATTTTCGCGTACAATTGACTGGCGAGCATTTGTGGAAAAATGGAAAAAACACCATCATATACGCACCTAGATAAAATTTCTAAGAATTTACTATTACTAAAAATAACTAAGAATTTAAAATAATCGCACACATCGTAATAACACTAGTACATTTCTCGCTGTTAATCTAAAACAGGATTTTAAACCTGACCTAACCTATGAATATATTTAAGTTATTTTGAGTTCAAAATAATTTTTGTCAGAAGCGCTTAATGTTTAACGAATTCTACATTTTGGAACTATAAGATATAAGGCAAATATTATAAATAATTTGTTTTTCATTTTTTTTTTTTTTATTTGTCAGTCAAAAGAAATCTTTTTCATGCTAAACTGTGTTTCATGGCTTAATGATTCTAAATACAAAATCTTATTTTACATATTTTGTAGTTTTGGATTTATAGAACTTAATATGGTCGTCCGTTTGTCCGACAAACTTGTTATCATCATTATCATTTACTTTTTTTCAAGAATATATTTTAGCATTTTTTGTGAATATCCGCATACATAAATATCTTCTAATGGTTTTCAGTACATATAAATAATATATACTACGATAATTGTACGATGCTGTACACTTTTCGGATTTTTCTCGAATCGCGGTACACGACATGCGACCCACACCTCTCCCTCCCCCCCCATCAAACCATCAACAATGCCGTGTGGTTCAGACCGTTTCGGTCCCCGGAAAACTAAACCGACGGACGGGGATTATTGCAGCAGTGTGCAGGATTCCGAGATACACGCATTAAACATTATACGCACGCACCTGCAGCGGGTCAAGTGCGCGGGGAGTCGCGGGTCAGGGGGGAGGTGGCGGGAGAGTGTCGGGGATTGGGGCCGCTTTACAAAGTGGCGTCCGGGGAACCAGATTGGATATATGGGCGCGGCGGCGGCGATGCGCCGGATGAGAGATTCTGCGGTCGTTTTCGGCCAGCGGCTATATATAAACTCTGGATATCCGAGCGAGCAGGGCCTTAAATTAATGAACGGCATCAACCCGTACCGGCGCTGTTATTTATACGCGTCGGGAGACTTTCCCTGCAGAGTTCAGCGCCTCGTCGCCGTCGCCGTCGCCGTCGTCGTCGTCGTCGTCGCCACCGCCGCTGCCGCCGTCGGAGACCTCCGCGCCCCGTCCCGGGTCTCCGGCCTGTACCGATTTATGGCCGGCACCCGTTGAAAGCGATAAATCTATCCGGCCGACCTCGTACGCTGCTATAATAATACACGTGTGCGAGTGTTATGTGCCGAGTACGTACCGCACCGCGAATTACGCACGAAGTTTTAATATTCGGTGCGGTGGTGCCGCGGTTTTACACGAGAAATTTCGAAATTGAGAGGATTCGATAGTCTCGATTACGTCACACGCGCCGCCGGTTGTATCAACGGGTGGGCGACTTTGATACGGTTTTTTTAACGGTCTATTTGAAAAAAAATACGGACATACCTCGCACGTGGGCACAGCCACTGTTGTGGGCGAGAAGTCGGGAAGGTAGGGTACAGACGGGAATTTAATGTATATCTGTAAGCAACGATAACCATCGTTAAAGAAAAAATAATTCTGAGCGCAGTTCAGTTGACAGTGTTGCGTTGTCAACAATATACGCAATGTCATATTATGGTAAAATAATCACGTATATGTATTAAACATTTTCTTTAATAATATTTGTTATTAATATTGTACCTATTTCCCCTCTGTTTTTTCCGGTTGTTCCAATATATATTGAGAAAACACCTGAAAAAAACGAAAAATTACCTCGTTAAAGTACCTCCCCAGTCAGATTTTCTTTCAAAAAAATTGCTACGCTGGTAAATTGGAGCAATATTTCTGATAGAAAAGTTGTTTACAGACAAAAAATAATAAAATAAAAAAATAACAATCATTGTAAAACTATAGGCTTCTTCGCTTCACTCAGAATCTAAAATGAAAATTGATCGACTCCAAATCACTCCGCTTTCGAATAAACTGGATCAATGGTACAGAGGCCCATTCAAAAATAAAATAATTTTTGGTGGGTCAAGTATCGAAACTTTTCCCTAGGATAAGATTTTTAATTAGAACTTACATAGAATAGACTATTTTATTATAGGTATATCTTTATATAGTAACAGTATATATTTAATTATTTATTATGTATAGCTTGTTTTAAATGAGAAAAAAATGTATAGTATATATTTATATCTTTTTTTTAATGTGAGTGTAAATTTTTGAAATTTGAAGTTATTTTTATGTTTTTAGATTCCAATCGTAGCGATGAAGCTGTTGGTTTTACAATATTGTTTATTTCTTCTTCTAGTCTGTGTACACGTTTTTTTCTATTAAAATTGCTCCGAATTTTACGTGTAGCAACTTTTCTGAAAGTTCAATTTATCTAGATTGTACTTTAAAAAAGTCATTTTTTTTGACGCTGTTTTTTTAAATAAAATCGCTTAAGTGGGAAAAAACGTAGGAAAACGTACAATTTTTTGTGATTTCACCACTGGATTATATATCGTACCGAATTTTCCCTCCCCACAAAAAAAAAAAAAAAAAAAAACGAAATCGATTGATATAACTCCCGGCCCTTTATATTACTATGGTTTTTATGGACCACGTTTATTGTGAACGGTGTCTAAAATAATAATATAATATTTCATTTTTATTGTGTTTCTGCTATCATTTATTACGATCTTATTAATTTAATCAACGTCTTTCCGTATTTTGTATCATACTATGTATAATAATATATACTTATAATTCAAGTATTTCCATCGGCCCAAAAATATACAATTTATCGCGGACAGGTTCACAGTTGAATAAATTACAGACTTGCGTGTGATAATTGATAACTATATTCTAATATTTTCAGTGGTGCAATCAATTTATAAAAATTTATTTAAAAATACAAGCATCAATAATATTATCATTACCACTTAGACAAATGGATTAAAACAAAATAAATCGGAAGAAAAGTCGCTGTTTGTTAATTTTGAACGTACAATTATAAAAAAAAAAAGAATACTTTCATTGAAAACAATTATGTATCAAGCTAATATACTATACTGACGTCAATTTGGGAAGACGGTATAAATTTATCGAACACAACGTACAATATTTCCACGGTGTGAAATTGATTATAGTTGCCAGATATTACATACATTTATGAATGAGGGTTTGTTGGTATTTCAGCGATAATTGTTTTCGTTATCTTATCTCGTATCCAGATATTAACATTGTCTAAATTGTAATTTATCTTGGTACAATATTTTGGTAGTGACTTCTCGCGAATGTTCGTGGCTTTCTGTTTTTTAAAACATGTGTCCCACTCTGCGGCCGAGCTCGAAGTTGAGGTGACGGCGGTATTAAATATAAGTGCCGTTATTGCATTGTATTTATACGCAAACGTAAGTACGTACTGAGAAGATTTACCGACGAGATAATAATATTATATTAAAACGTTTAAAAGTATAAACGATGTCGACGCTCTCTCATTGCTATTCCGAACGGCGGCGGCGGCGGAGGTAGTTTAAAAAGAAACACTTTGGTTATCAGGAGTGAATTTGCAGATTAAAAGGGCCTCCGCCACCGTTGTCGTTGTCGTCGCCGTGGCTGTGGAAAGAACAAGATAACTCCGGGTTCCGGTAACAAAGCGGCGGAAAAAAGTCGACGACAACGGCGGTGGCGGCGGCGGCGTAGTAGGACGGCTGAATGGGAAAGGGGAGAGGGGAAAAAAATAAAAAGGCAAGCAACAAAGGTAATTCGACTCCCGAACCGGGGTTTAAATAATGACGGGGAAGGTTTTTTTTTTTTTATGTATATATATTTTTTTTTCTGGCCAAGATTTTCTGTCAGCAGCCCTTCTTGCCACCGGTGGTGGCAGTGGCGGAGGAAGTGAGAGGTCATTAGCATTCGGAGGTCGAAAAAACGGGGGGCACGAAGAGGCGAGGACGGCGACGACTACGGTGGCGGCGACGTAATCTTGTAGTTTTTTTTTTTTTGTCCACCCCGCTAAGAAAACAATTTCGAATCCTTAAACCGATTTATTGATAAGAATGGTTTTTAATTTAAACGACACTGGTTAACAACAGGGGGTTCCCGAATCTAATTATTGTAACGCGCCGTAGTACGACAAATGAGATGCAGTGAAAATACTTGAAATCCTTCGGAAATCTTTCGCATTTCAATTAAACGCTAGCTATACTTAATAATAATATATTGTTTTAATAATTATAAATTGTTATTCCACGCGTTGTTGCTATTTTCATAATGCTACGGTTTCGATAAAACCCGTTACATACGTTTATAAAACAAAATTACACGTAGAAAATTATTAAATCGACCGACGAGCGAAACAAAATCGCGTGGCGAATTCGAGAATTGTTTTTCCGCGAGTATTTTTTTAAAATACCTCATTAAAAACCGCTATTATTAATATTGAAAGGCATACAGAATAAAATTTTACAAATGTGTGACAGTAGAGCAACACAAAAATGAACTAGATACGAAAATACAGTAAAACAAAATTATATCGTAATAATACGGTTTATGAATGTTGTAACGGAATTTTTCACGGATAATATTCGAGTTTTAAACTCGCGTGACCATGAAATAATAATATCAAAACCAACCCTTCGCGGAAAGTGATGTAATTCGATTTTGTTATTCGCCGGAGTACAGATATTCACGTAAATTAATTACAAGTACGCAGATGATTATTTTTTACGATTTTCGTTAAAATCTAAACTTTAAATGCTGAAATAATGCTAAAATCATAACGGAAATAATGACTACGGATTTTCGATATTTTTAGACAATTTAAGACGCGTGTAAACGTATTATATGGATAGTAATAATGGCGCGCTTGGGAAATATTTACACGGATATACGAAATATTAAATATCTCGCTACGAAATTACACGATAATAAATTATGAACTATAACTGCTAACGGTAATCTGGTCGAATCGCCGAATACACGATGTTTGCGTACGATGCGTGTAACATTGAAGAACGAAAACGAAAGTTTAACATTAAAATTTTACTAAAAGAAAAAAGTAATCTGTGGGAAAATGCCCGTGTTACCCCCTCTCAGGTACCCACACCGCCGGGAAGCGAGAATCCGATGGAGAGTGGCTCCGCTTATCCCGCATACAGATATTTTATCGCGCGAGAACTACATTAAAAATATATAAAAAGATGTGAAAAAAGAAATACGTTCGACATATCGGATTCGTCGAATCGCGAAATTATTATCGGCGCTTTTTTTTTCATTTTTTTTTTATTCGCGGACGATGACATCTGTGATTTTCACGCCGGTGCCGTTGTCTTAACCGCGCGTCGCCCGGCCGAGGTATTTTATTCTCGGCGAATTTATGAGTTTTGAAAACGCCGAACGGTCTCCGCGTCGCACTCGCGCGTTAATGTCCCGATATTATACCCGTGCACGCGCATTAAAATAATAATAATAATAATAATAATAATAATAATAGTATAGAGTATGGACCCCTATGCGTGTACCGAAGACAGCGAAAGTGGCGGCGGCTGTGGCGACAGCTGTTGGCAACAAGTTCGGGATATTTCCCCGCGCCCGGCAAACAGCAGCTACTGCTAGCAACAAACACTACACAACACACACTGTACATATATATATATATAGTGCTATATAATAATATTATATTATATACCGACGATGGTTGGATCTCCGCCTTCTCCGCCTTTTCCCCGTCGTCCGTCTCGCGGCACATCGATTTTTCGCTCCGGAACCCCTCCGGCCGAAAAAAAATCTCTCTCTCCGCTCTCCGCTCTCCGTTTAATTGTGTATAGAATTATTCTGGGCCGGGACGATAACAGCGTACGGGGAATAATAATAATAATAAAAAAAAAAAAAAAAACTACACGCCTTGATTATCTTCGGTCACAATAACACAGCCCCCGATGATGAGGGCGCTTAATGAAAAATTCAATAATATCACGTCCCTCCGCCGCCGCCGATGCCGTCGACGGATGATGACGACGACGACGGCGGCTGCGGCGGCGGCGGAGGGTAACTCGGAATTAATCAGTGCCCGGAAGAATTCAGTTCGACATTGTTAGTCAGCGGCCTTTATTGTATCGCGCATATACATAAAAAAAAAAAAATAAAAAAATAATAAGAATTAAAAAAAACCAAGATTGCAGTATACCCCGGAGTTTGTATAATAC